ATTTCACCAGCCCAATTCCCAGGGTTATAACAAGAGCCACGCTCCCTCATAGGAGCTTCCTCCTTCAAGGCCTGGGTTTATCTTCCCCAGCGCTTCCCTTACTCTTTTTTTTTTCTTTTTTTTGTGGTACGTGGGCCTCTCACTGTTGTGGCCTCTCCCGTTGCGGAGCACAGGCTCCAGACGCGCAGGCTCAGTGGCCATGGCTCACGGGCCCAGCCGCTCTGCGGCACGTGAGATCTTCCCGGACCACAGCACGAACCACTGCGCCACCAGGGAAGCCCCTAGAAGTTTTGACAGAGAAAATTGACGTGTGAAAGCACTAATTTCAAATGAAAAGGACGAAAGAGCGCCCTCTTTAGGACCCAGAAGTTTGACTCCCATCTTTGCTACAAGCACCTCTTTAAAAAGTCACTTCTGGGCTTCCCTGGTGGCGCAGTGGTTGAGAGTCCGCCTGCCGATGCAGGGGACACGAGTTCGTGCCCCGGTCCAGGAGGATCTCACATGCCGCGGAGCAGCTGGGCCCGTGAGCCATGGCCGCTGAGCCTGCACATCCGGAGACTGTGCTCCACAACGGGAGAGGCCACTTCCCCTCTCTGCATTTAAGTTTTCTCATCAATTAGAAAGAGACAGAGACAGACAGACACTGGACTAAATAAACTCTAGGTTTTCTCCAGTTTTAAGATGCCATTTAAATAATTTTCTTTTTTTCCCTAATACCAGCCTTTCAAGGCCACAGGGACCCTGCTGCAAGAAGCCCCAACACCCTCATCTTCTCCTGCTAAGTCCTGGGCTATCAGACCCCAAAAGAACCTTCTCATGGTGAAGCAAAGGGCCTGCCATCCAAGTTATAAACTGTAACCTGGAGTCAGACTATACAGAGACAGTCACCTTCTACTGCCCAGAGGCACAAGGAGATAAACCGTGCATCACTGTTCAGCAACATAGAGCTACACTGAAATACACACTTTTGCTTCATATTCTCACTATCTGAAAACACTATAGATTATATCAGCGACACCAAGGATCAAAACATGCCTCCTTAGTCCATCTCCTACTACATGGCTGAAGAATAAACCCCCTCCCTTCAAGTAGACGTGCACACACACAGTAAGGACACCTCTTCTCTGCCAGCCTAGCCCAACAGTGACACCTGCTGGGGAAATCCAAGCAAGGCCGCTCATCAGCCAGAGAACACTGGACCTTCAGAAGGTGGTAGAAGATGTCGTTTAACACAAGTATATATTAGTGATTTATACCAGAATGCAGCCCCTCAGTTTATGAGGAAGTGGTGGCCCTTCTTTAATGGGTGTGCACTTAGAATATTTTACAAGATACCTCATTTTTGATAGGCTGTAAACCCTCGTGGTACACCTCATTCAAGCTCATTTGAAAAGCAACTCCATAAATAATGTAACCACTGGATTAATATACTATTTTACAATCAGAACTGTGCATTTGTATATTTTAAAATTTAAAAAGCGTGTGTGTGTGTGTGTGTGTGTGTGTGTATAAAATTGTTTACAGCAAGATGACAAAGGACTTCATTTTCTACAACGTAACATTTCTAAATGCTTGAACTTTTTTATTTAAACCACAAACACATACTACTTTTTGCCTAAAAAAAATTCTGATAGATCCTTAATAGTTTCTGGGTTTTAAATGGCCCACTTTATTAAGAAGTGACTATTAATATATTAGTCACACGTGGCTATCTACATTTAAATTAGTTAAAATTTAAATGTTTCTCAGATCACACTAGCCACATTTCAAATGCTCAATAGCCACATGTGGCTGGTAGCTACTATACTAGGTGGCACAGATATAGAACATTTTATTAGACAAAATTGCTCTAGAGAAACATACTGGAGTATTTTCAGACAAAATTATATGATGTCTGGGTGGCTGGGAGTAGGTAAGGGATACAGACGAGTGTTGAAAATTTCTGAAGCCAGGTGATAGGTATATGGGAGTTCATTTATACTACTTTTCTTTTAATTTTTATATGTTTGAAGATTTCCATAACAAAAAAGTTAAAAGAAAAGAAAAACATAAAAATGGTTCACCTAAAAATGAGATTATCACTTTAAGAAATACACCATGGGGACTTCCCTGGTGGCGCAGTGGTTAAGAATCCACCTGCCAGGGGCTTCCCTGGTGGCGCAGTGGTTGAGAGTCCGCATGCCAATGCAGGGGACACGGGTTCATGCCCCGGTCCGGGAAGATTCCACATGCCGCAGAGCGGCTGGGCCCGTGAGCCACGGCCGCTGAGCCTGCACGTCCGGTGCTCCGCAACGGGAGAGGCCACAACAGTGAGAGGCCCGCGTACTGCAAAAACAAAAACAAACAAACAAACAAAAAAGTTCAAAATATTCTAAAAGAAAAAATTTCACAATTTTTATGGAAACGCAAAAGACCCCAAATAGCCAAAGCAACCTTGAGAAAGAAAAACAGAGCTGGAGGAATCAGGCTCCCTGACTTCAGACTATACTACAAAGCTACAGTAATCAAGATAGTATGGTACTGTACAATAACAGAAATATAGATCAATGGAACAGGATAGAAAGCCCAGAGATAAACCCATGCACATATGATCACCTTATTTTTGATGAAGGAGATAAGAATATACAATGGAGAAAAGACAGCCTTTTCAATAAGTGGTGCTGGAAAAGAATCCACCTGCCAATGCAGGGGACACAGGTTCAAGCCCTGTCCGGGAAGATCCCACATGCCACAAAGCAACTAAGCCCATGCGCCACAACTACTGAGCCCGCATGCCACAATTACTGAAGCCCACGCACCTAGAGCCCGTGCTCTGCAACAAGAGAAGCCACCACAATGAGAAGCCCGTGCACCGCAACAAAGAGTAGCCCCCGCTCGCCTCAACTAGAGAAAGCCCACACGCAGCAACAAAGACCCAACGCAGCCATAAATTAATTAATTATTTTAAAATAACACACCATGGAGGGCAGCCTAAAAAAATCTTTAGTCATGCACACTGGAGTTCAAATCCCCACTCAGCAACCTACTGTGTGATCTTTAACAAGAAACTTGACTTCTCTGAGCTACTCTTTCCTCAACTGGAAGATGGGAAATTTCATACCTGCCTTGCACAGAGTTACTGTGGAAATTAGAAATAATTAATGCAAAGCTAGAACACCGTAGTAGGCTCTCAGTAATTGGTATCTCTAATTATTATCAAACAATAGAGTTTGTTTTAAACAACTCAGGTATTTCTCAGAACAGCAACACATGAAGAGGTCCTGCTAGAACAGAACGGACAGAGGCTGACCACAAACCCACTGATGCTAGTGAAACAGGCACTGGTAGGCTTTTAGAGCAATAACTGAAGACAGTCCTTTATGGCTATCTCTAATAAACTTTTTGAATGCCTACTATACGTCAGGCACTATGCTTGCTACTGTCTCACCTCTCTTGACAAAAAGGAAGAAGAGTCTCAGGCTCCTGATATGGGTCATTATGCAAGGCAAAGTATTCCAAAGCTGGGAATTTAGATGTTAATCCAGAACTGGCCTCAATCAAACGGGCAGAGTAACAATCTCAGCTACCTCGTCTATCTTTCATATCTGACCAAGTCTCCCCCTGTGTTCACGTTACTAACTGCCCTTAAGTAACTTCTTCTTATCCTGAATTCATCATGCCCTTTCCTCCCTTAGCATGTGCTACACCCTCAAAATAAAAAGGCCTTTCCCTTTCCAAATCCTACCCATCTTTCAAGACTTATTCTTGTAAAGCCTTCTTTGATGATCCTTCCCTTTCTCTGAAATTAGACTACATTTAATCTCAGTACCATACAATGAAGCATTCGGCTCATTTACATTTTTTATGTAATTACATGTAAATAAGTCTTGCCTCTACAACAACACTGTATACTGCCAGTGGGCAAAGACCAGGTATTATACTGCTTTTGTAGTGACAGTGCCTAGCAGTGCTAGAAAAAAAATATAATTCAACAAATACTTATTAACTGGGTAACTCTCTAAAGCATTCTCCCAAAATAACAAGTACATTATGTGCACAATCCATATTCCCACCCTTGCTAGAAGCTTATGTCAGAGAAATTTCAGATGCTTCAACAGAGGATGTAATGCACAGCAATATGCTGTTTGGATCCAACAAGCATATTCTGGGAGTTGGTGATTATGCTAGATTTGACCTTTACAGAATTACAGAAAAAAGTCCCTAATAAATCAAGATAGATGCGCACACAGCCATACACGGAACATGTGGTGGGCGATCAACTACACCCACTCTGTTTCTTCCATGAAAGAGTTGCCTGGGATGCCAATCCAAGTATTAAGAGGCCTTCCTTCTATGAATTTCTTCTTCTCCACCTCAAGGTGAATGTCCATCTGGAAGATCTACTCAAAGAATCTTAACTAAGCAACTAACTTGCTGTCCAAAAAATATATATCTCTTAAAAAAAAAATTTTCCTTGACATATATACATACTATTTTCCTTTCCTTTTGTCAAGTTGCAATGTTCCAAAAGATATGGTTTCAGAATTTGTCCAAAGTAACACAATCAAAGACCCAATACACTAATCTGTCCTAAGCAGAGTTCTCTTTTACTACTTTTTCCTAGTCTCTCTGGGACATTTTGTTGTTTCACAATAACCAGTCCTGCACATACAATCCTTGGAGAAGGCCAAAAAGCAGAGCAGAGGAAGTCAGCAGTTTTACCCCCTCGTGCCTCTCTAACCTCAACTACAACTCTCCTCCAAGGCTAAACATCACATGAGCTTAGCCAAAAACGGAGCAAGCCGAGTCACCTGACTCATACTGCCAGGCCTTATCCTCTTTCCGCCACCACAGCAAGATTTTCCAAGAAGATGCAATGGAAGTTAGGGACATCAGAACCAGATGCATGATGCATGGATCCCAGACACTCCAGATCCAGCCACAACACCCACAGGACTGAAGGAAGAGATATCAGGAGGAAAGTAAGGGATACAGGAGAAGACAGGAAAGCATCTGCTCACCTCCTGAGTGAATCTTCCTCGGAGCTTTCCTCAGCCATATCCTGATGTAAGGCCTCCTGCGACACAGTTCCAGATCTGCTGGACTGGGTGTAAATTCGTTCCCAGTGGCCTGTCTCCTGGTTGAAGGCCACCCCCACAGTCCTCTCCTCCTGTGGGCTAGCAGAGCTGCTCAACTCCAGCCTGCTGGAGCTCGGCGTTTGGCCCTCAGTCCGCTCGAGAGGTGGCAACTGGCTGCCACTCGAGGGCATGCCCTCAAAGGTACTGGGGACCTGCCAGGAGGAGCTGGCTTCGCCAGAGGAGTAGTTAGGTGCACTTCTTTCCCAGCGCAGGGTATCGTTGTTGAAGGTCAGGAGATTGTGGCAAGCGCGGCAGCGGGTCAGGGGGCCACGGGACAGGTGGGAGTGGTTTTAATTTTGTATCCTGCCACTTTACCAAATTCATTGATCCGGTTCAGGTGGCCACGCGACAGGTTGGAGTTGTTCTCGCTGCTGTGCGGGGTGGGCTGGTGGGAGGGGCCTGGCCTCTCGGATTCAATGTTATTGTTGAGCATTTCCTGGGCCTGTTGGGCCTGGGGCGCTTCCCCACTCAGGCTCTGGTCCAGCTCCTGAAGCCGGTCATACTCCAAAAAGAAGCGTCTCAGGTCACACTGAAGCTCATGGCGAATGGTGCCCGAGTTGTTTTGGCTGGAGCCATTCCCTCCATCTGACTCAGCTGCCAACCCTGAAGCTGGAAAACCCCTCCCTTCTGTGGCTGAAGTGTACACAGATGCTTGAGAGCCACCTTCCTGCTGTCTCAGCACAGACAGCAAACTCACCGAAGAGGCACTGGTCCTGGGCGGGGGCATGGATTCCGCCTCAGAGCAGGAGTTCAGACTGAGCACTGTCCGGGTCCACTCAGATCCTGTCAGCCCGGGAGCGATTTCTCGGTGATACCTAGAAGGGTGGCTAGACAGAGGGCCTCCCAAAGAGCGACGGGTGGGACCCAGACTGAGGTTGCGGAGCGTGTTGCCGGCAGTGCTGCTCTGGACTGTACTGAAGGCAGACGGCCGGTTCAGGAGGCCCTGGTCCTGCTGCGCTGATGAGGCCTGCTCCGGGGGATGGAAGGGCTCGGTCTGTACAAAAGAAAAGGAAGGGGTAGTAGCCCTGGCAGGAGCAGGGGGTACACTGTCCTGGTGTGGCAAGAGGGAAGGAACTCGAGTGCCAGAGCAGCGGCTGCAAAGGCACAGGATCCCAAGGTGCTGGCAGCACTCAGCTGTGGGGTAACTGACCCGCTGTCGGAGCCGGATGTAAGCGGAAGTCCTGGGACGCTCCGTGGAGGGCTGAGGGGGAGGCGGTGGGGGAGAGGGGGTGGCAGAATCTTGCACTGTGCTTTGCTCTCCCACCTGGATGCCAGAGGAGCGGGAGGACAGCATGTGCAGGAAATTGTGGAGGAGAGGCGTCCGGCGCACTGGCTGTGACTGCAGGAGGGCACGCTGACGGTAATGCGATAATTCTGTTCCGTCTATGGGGATCTCTGGTTCGTCATCACCCTGCAACGTGGACCAAGGTGGGGCGGGGGCAGAGCCAGGTAGTTAGGTAGAACTTGCCGGTAAATCAAGAAAAACTACTGATAATCATCTAAGGAAAACCTTTCTGGAGAGGCAACAACTCCATCCTTGAAGTACTGAGAACTAACTGGTTCCAGATTCAGAATCATCATATGGTATTAAATTATTCACTTCCAATTAGCAACACTTCTGAACGAGTATAGCTGGCAAACCAACTCTGTTACAAAAGGCATTTCCATGACATGGATGGAGGCAGTAAGGGGAAGCAAAATGTCAACCAGCCAGAGGCACATGAATGACAAGTTATCCAACACGGCCTGGTTACTTCTACTGGGACGATCACTCAGGGGTTTCAGAATGGACTCCCCTGTCACGATATGGCTATATCTTTGAATACAGTCTGAAGCTAGTTTTGAATCTTGACTGGAAAGAAACAATTGGACATTGAAAACTGAAGTCCAATATAATCAGAATTAGAGCACTAGTTGAGAAAATAACCCACAGTTTAGACAGAGTTGAAACTGCTGACTAACTTACCTGCTGATTAGAGGGGTTAACAATTGCTGTGAGTAAGTAGTGTCCAAGAGGATCAAATCTCACCAGACTGAAAGCACAGAAGAAAGGGACAGAGACACAGAGAGAGAAATTATGTTAACCAAGAAGAGGAAACCTGTGAGAAAACGTCTGGAAATTATTACTGACAACTGTGGGATCACTGAGGTATCCACTTAATGCTACAGACTTCCAAAACTTTCAAACAGATTAAAATAATAAAGGTCAATACTTCTTCTTACGTCCTCACACTTGCCAGAATAAGGGAATACGTATCACAAAAATAATTTCAAAAAACACCTGGGCTTCCAACCCAGGAAGCAGCTAGCTACATTAAGCACACAGCTGCTCATGTCTAAGAGCCCATCATAATAGTAAAGCAGAGAATGCTCCCATACTCTGCCACAGGTTCAGGTCTCCCCTCACACAGCAGCTACACTGGCAAGAAGCATGAGTGCTGGTGACAAGGAACAATCTCAGCATCAAGTGACATAGCTGAGGCTAGAAAATTAGCTAATATCCAACTGCGATACCAAGAGGACCAAAGGAAAACAACGCATCGACTTTAATTCAGGCAATATGTGCGCTGACTTTGAAGGCTAAATATGTAAATATCTACTAGCAGATTGGATACATATCTACACCTCCACTTTCCATTTCCAGAAAACCAGGGATGAGCAACTTACCCACCAAGCTACCCACCACCTGAATACCTTTCAGGATTATTAAAAAAAAAAAAAAAAAAAAGGCTTTATACCAAACCAGATAGCTTTGAACCTAAAAAAAGATTCTAACAGCCATAGTCTACAGAGACCAGAAGATGAGGCCAATATGGAACAGCTGAAATGAACAATATGAACTGCTTTCTAGCTGATTAGCCAGATGCTTAACAAGTAGGAAGAGCCATAGGGATAATACCCTGCCCTGAGCAGGGATAATACGGAGATAATAATCTGTCTCCTGAGGTGAAAGCACGGGTGAATGCTCTCTGCCATGTTAATCCTACGCCAGACATTGCTGGTGGGCAGAGCACTCACCGGACCCGTTCCATCTCACTAGCTGTCTTCACCACGGCAAAGGGCTCCCGTCGACTCCAATCCCAGAAGTGGATCTCATTGGCAGTAGCAATCAGCAGGAGCTGAGCCGTAGGGTGGAAAGCCAGGGAGGCAATGGCATTGTTGCTATCTGTGAACCAGCTTTCACTGCCACCCTATGAATGAACAAATCCCAGACATTCTTAGGTTACAAGCTGCCAGCAGACTGAGATGTCAATTGAAAAAAAAAAAAAAAAAAAAAAGGGTCCATTTAACATAAAACGACTACTTGTAGGGCCTACATTAAGTATGTCCTCTGAAAACGACGTACAAAACCAGTGATCTGGCAGTGTCACAACTTTATCAGAAAAACATTACTGTCAGCTCAGTTTTGTCATCTACAATCCATAAGCAATGAGCACCCGCACAGCTCCTGTTTCTGTAGCCTGCGAAAACTCAAGCTTGGTGCATGACATGGTGCACAACAACCCACTAGCCAGTCACCAGGACAAGGAGCACATTGCTCTGATGATCATGATCAGAATACAGTACAATCCTTGATCTAAAACAAGAGAAATCCATCCTGAAGACGTCTTAGAGTGTCCTGCACTATGTCACAATGGGCAGTTAAACAGGGTGTTCATCTTAGAATGGAGGGCTGTCGGCTAGACTCCCTATTAGTAAGTAGGCAATGATTACTGAGTAAGTACTCAGATATAGTCCTAAGAACCTGACTAGTCTCTCCTCCAGAGTTAAGAACCCAAGGGTAAACAAGTCTCTGCATTTAGAATACCAAAGAAAAGGAAACACTTACGTGTAAATCCCAAATCCTAACCTCCCCATCTAGGCAGCCAGAAGCAATAAGGCCTGAGATGGTGGGATGAAAAGTGACACACCATGGAGTGCGGCGGTGTCCAATCAGAGAGTGAACACACTTGCCTGTCTTCACCTCCGTGATATAGATATTATGGTTTACATGGGTGGAGGCCAAGAGAGTCCTAGGGAATCAAAGAGGAGGAAGTAAATGTGAAGCATGTGGGAGGGTAACAAACTTTATCAGCTTTGGACAAAAATGAAAATTGATACTTATTCCCCATCCCAACATGATAAATACTACAACTTGGGCATTACAAACAACAGAAACATTCTCATCTTTAAAAGCTTTTGGCTTCTCCATTCTGTCCCCAGAAGACACATAACCCCTTCAGAGAATATTTTTTCCAGCAGGGAAAACTATCACACTATTGGTGGCCTATATCACACAGGCAAAGGATTCTTATTGAGAAACTTGCCAAGTTCTGATCCTCGACGTTCATAGATTCCTTTGCTTATTCCAATTACTTTTATGGTTAGCACTGCTCATCTACTTTCTTTCCCTTTCTGATAACACTGGCAAAGCTCTGTTCATTCAGCGCTTCAAAGAGCCTTTAGGGGGCTTCCCTGGTGGCGCAGTGGTTAAGAATTCGCCTGCCAATGCAGGGGACACGGGTTCAAGCCCTGGTCCGGGAAGATCCCACATACCACGGAGCAACTAGACCCGTATGCCACAACTACTGAGTCTGCGCTCTAGAGCCCACGAGCCACAACTACTGAAGCCCGCGCGCCTAGAGCCCGGGTTCCGCAACAAGAGAAGCCACCGCAATGAGAAGCCTGTGCACCATAACGAAGAGTAGCCCCAGCTCGCCACAACTAGAGAAAGTCCGCGCAGAGCAAAGAAGACCCAACGCAGACAAAAATAAATAAATAAAATAAATTTTTAAAAAAAGAGCCTTTAGGGATTTGACTTGGAAGATCAAGCTAGGCCAAATACACAGAAAGCAATGCTGTCACAAGTCTCAGGTAAAGTTTAGGTAAGGACTTTGTGGTACCTGTCTGGGCTGAAGGCCAATAAAAAGGTAGAGCGTGGACTATCCGGCAGTTCTACTCTCTGAGAAATAAACAAACAAAAGTTAAAATACATTATTTATAAACTATGGCTCACTCTATCTCAAAAGCACCAAACCATTCTAGACTAGTATTTACAGTGTAAGCTTAAAAACTGGAGACAATGATCAAGCTACAAATTGAGAGAGATAAATCTAAATTACCTTCAGGAAAAATAGCTCTAAAGAAAAATGATATTTCTAGCCCATTATGCTTCCAAATTTATTAAAACCTCCCCCCACAAAAAAACAAGTTAGATATATCAATTCTCCTACACAAAATGAATTGTACCCCAACTCTATGTCATTAACCCATCCTAAGGCCCCATTCTACTGTCACCCCTACAACTCCTATGTGAAAAACACCCATTTTTCTCACCTTGCCCTCCCATTTCATCCACCGGGTTTTATCTTCCACCAGCTCCTGCAGAAGTCGCTGAGCTCCAAAGGTCCGAGTGCCCCGTTCTCGCCCCCAGAGTATCCGGACAGCATTCTTCTCTGGAACAACCTTCATGGTCCTCCTCAGTAGCCACTGTCACAACAGGCCCGGGAAGAGAAGGAGCGAGCAATAGCTCTACACGCTGAAGCAGCTAAAATGAGGCCATTCAGGTCCTTGTAAGTTGCCTTCATGGAAATCTAAGGTATAGACATTATGTCAAAGAACATCTATTCTGCAGTCAGAGAAGGTTCCCACTGCAAATACAATTCTAGCTCAAAGAGGAAAGTACTGTTCTTTTCATATTAACGACATCTTCTCAGAAAAGACCCTTCTCCCAGAACTTTTCTTCCAAGAATATTTCATCCTTAAATTCCTCCCATATCCTCCATAGCTCAGCCTTATATCTAAAGAAGAGACCACTGTCTAAAGGAGTTATTCTTTTTATCAGGCAGTAAAAACTTTTTTACTAACCAAAAGGTCTAAAACCCTGTCAAAACCGAAACAAATCACAACACAATATCTGCACTCTGAGGACTTCCCTGGCAGTCCAGTGGTTAGGACTCCGTGCTTCCAATGCAGGGGTCACAAGGTCAATCCCTGGAAAGGGAACTAAAATCCTGCATGGCACACAGCACAGCCAAAAAAAAAAAAAAAAAAAAAAAATCTGCACTCCCCACTCTGTGCCAAGCTGCTTCCCTAGTTGCTAGTAGTCCTCCTTATCACTTGGGCAGCCTCCAAACTAAAGGACACGTAACCGATTTTAAAAGGCTATTACTTAAGGTATGGTTCTTATGCAGCAGCTTCAATTCTCTCTCCTATCTAAAAGCAGGTGCACAGAACCACTTCGAGGTACCTTTCTCATTCTCTTTTTCTCTTCCCCACTCAAGTTCCAGAATAGAGGACAGAGGAAAGAGAAGAAAAAATTTCAATTCCTTTTTCTCATCCACTGTAAGCCTTAACTGTATAAAACTGTCACAAAATAAACACAAATTCTAGTAAAATGTCAAATAGCAGCAAAATATACACATGTGCAACAATTAAAGAATTGTGGTCCCTCCAAACAATGGAACATGCAGCCCAATGAAATGGCATTTGAAAAGAATATGTATATAAACCTCATTCACTGCAACACTGTTTCTTCAACTATATTTTGAAAAAATTCAAATATACAGAAAAGTTGAAAACAGTAGAATAAATACCAACTACTCACCACTTAGACTCAAGAATTGCTAATATACTGTCAAATTTGCCTCATTTATCTCTATGGATAGAGATATATAAGGGTTGTTTTAATTTTCCTGCGAACCATTTCAGCAGGCATTGAGATACTCTAATCCTATATACCACACTGTGCATCTAAGAATGAAGACATTTAACTTCATAACCACAATACCATTATCACACCCATTATCATTCGTGCCTTTAATACACCAAATACACCAAAAAGTGTCTTAAAAAAAAATCCAGGGCTTCCCTGGTGGCGCAGTGGTTGAGAGTCTGCCTGCCGATGCAGTGAACACGGGTTTGTGCCCCGGTCTGGGAAGATCCCACATGCCGCGGAGCGGCTGGGCCCGTGAGCCATGGTCGCTGAGCCTGCGCGTCTGGAGCCCGTGTTCCGCAACGGGAGAGGCCACAGCGGTGAGAGGCCCGCGTACCGCAAAAAAAAAAAAAAAAATCCAGAACCCAATCAAGGTTCAAGCAACGAATTTGGATGTTATGTCTCTTTAGTCTCTTTTACTCTAGAATGCCCTCCAAGTTTTATTTTGGTTGGTTGTTTATGCTTGTTTGTTTGTTTACAACACAAGCTTTTTAAAAAGACCAGGAGAGTCGACTTGTTGACTTGCAGTTGACAGTTACATCCTAGTTTTGTCTGATTATTTCCTCACAGTGCCATTTAGCTTGCATCTCTATCCCTAATACTTCCTGTAAACACTGACTAGATTTAGGTTAAGAGGCTTGGGCAAAAATGCTTCTCAGGTGATGCTACCTATGTACCTCATCTCATGATGCAGCACATCATATTCTCAGACTGTTCCATTTAGTGAGAGCTGGTAAATTACATGATCATCTGGCAAAACATGATCACTTAGTTGAGTCTGTAACAGCCAGAGCTCTCTTTATAAAGGTATATTTCCCCCTTTACAACTACTGATCTGTGGCTAACGCTTGGCACCATGTGAATATGCTGTTCCTCTTCAACCTTTTGCTTAATCGTTTAGCAGTCACTGATGATTCCTTTTTAAATTATTTCATTTGGGGGCTGGAATACGTTGATCTTCCAATTCCATCATTATTTCTACATTTATTAGTTGGCATTCTTCTGGAAAGAACTTTCCCTTAATAACTGAAGCAGAGTAAATGCTTAATTTTTTTCCCTTTAATTACTACTTCTTATTGTTTGTAATAGCAAAAATTGAGCACAACCCAAGTCTCTAAAGGGGACTAAATGACTAATCTACAGTAAGGAAGATTCTCTGGGTACTAACAGCAAGAGATCTCCAGGATACATTGTTCAGAGGAGGAAAAAGCAAGGAGCAAAACAACATATATAGTAAGGCTAACTTTTGAAAAAGAGGAGAAATTAATGGTCACTTATTAGGAACTGAAGGGATGAGGTAAATGGAGACAAAGATAGAAGCTAGACTTCTCAGTGTTTTTGTTTTATGTCATTTTTATTTTTGAAATTACCTATTCAAAATTTATTTTTAAAATATTTAATAACGTGAAAAAATACATGTTAAGTGAAAAAAGCAGAATAGAAAATTATATATACAGTATGATCCAAATTTTTTTTTTTTAATCTTTACGAATAATGATAGAGGCACTTCCCTGGTGGCACAGTGATTAATAATCCACCTGCCAGTGCAGGGGACACGGGTTCAAGCCCTGGTCTGGGAAGATCCCACATGCTGTGGAGCAACCAAGCCCGTGTGTCACAACTACTGAGTCTGTGCTCTAGAGCCCGTGAGCCACAACTACTGAGCCCGCATGCCACAACTACTGAGCCCGCATGCCACAACTACTGAAGCCTGTGCGCCTAGAGCCCATGCTCCACAACAAGAGATGCCACCGCAATGAGAAGCCCGCACACCGCAACGAAGAGTAGCCCCCACTCACCACAACTAGAGAAAGCCCGCACGCAGCAACAAAGACCCAATGCAGCCAAAAATAAATAAATAAATAAATAAAATTTTTAAAATCATAAAAAAAACAATGATAGAAGAGAAATATAAAAAGTATTAACCATGGTTCTCTTTGGGTGGCAGGATTATAGGTGACAGTCATCAGAAAAGGCAGTGTTCTTTTCATTTTTTTAATTTAAAAAGTAAATGCTTATTGTAAAAAGTCAAACAATAATCAGCTCTTTACACTTCATGAAAGGCTGCAATCTAAAAAGTACACAACTAGATGCATCTAAATACAGAAGGAAAAATATTTATCGCCTATGCTGAAATGAGTTTTCTCCCTGAATATTAAAATTTAAAAAGTCAGAAAGATTCTACAGAAAAACATAATTCCAAGTTCCTAGTCGCATACAGCACAAAGTTCCCTAAGGATTGACTGAGGAACACTCTAGCCTGTATCCTTGTAGTACAGCTCTCATCCCCCAGGAGCCTACAATATAAATACTATGTACACAATGAATATGTCAACACAGTGCAGGCCAACCTCCTGCATAAACTAAGGATGAACTAACTGGAAAGAAATAATCTCCTTGGTGACCCTGACAACTCATGGTTTAAAGACCAAAAGTCTGGAAGTGAAACTGCCGCAAATCTGAATAATTACTAACCAGGAAGGTGGCAGAAATACAGTTCCCATCCATTCACCTTAACCCTTAACTGAGCCTGTAATTTTTTTAGAGCCAATCATTCTTTTACCTAATATAGAGAAGTTCAGCAGAAATGAGTTTTGAGGGTTCCTTGCCCTATAGTGCAACATTAAAAGTACTTTTAAACCATTTATAATCTTATAACATGTGGTGAACACAGCAGCAGTCCAATTCCTAAAAAAAGTCTGACCTTCTGACCTCGTGTAACTCAAGAGGAAGAAAATATAGGTCACAAACATTGGATGATTCAGATAACTGTGATGCAGTCTGAAGTTCCTACAGGAATCAGAAGGACGAGGGAAGAGCTGCTACAAATACCAGTTATCAAGAAAATTCAAAAACTAAAGCTCAGGATTACTGAAGAGCTTGTCTACCAATTCCCAGAGACCTAAACACACCAACAGTTCAAACAAGAGAAAGTCTGACTGATGGCAAGAAGTCAAAGGAACTAAAACAACTGCACAGTCTCTCTTTTGTCTGAAGAAAAAATATTTGCTCTGTTTCTTTAAAAGGATAAGGGGCCTTCTCCTGATACACTCCTTACAGCCACCTGAGAAGAAATTTCACTTTGTTCTCCATAAAGAACAAAAGGAGCTAAATCAAACTGCAGTCAGGCAGGCCTGTTGCTGAGGAGGAAGTGCCAGTCAAGTGTGTTTTTCATTTCTCTTTTTAAAAAGGAGGAAGAAACAAGTTTCCCAATCTGTCCCTTAAACCAGATCGGGACAAAGGGTGCCAAGAAGAGTCTTTGTGATACCATTTCACAGGCCCCCAGAATCAATCCTCAATCACCAAAAGCCTCGTGCACGTACAACCAAAAGGGCACGACTGGGATATGTACATAACACAAATATTATTTGTTATACCACCCCATTTCTAACCACCCCCCCCCATAATATGATGATCACTCTAAAAAGATGGGAAGATAACCACCTTGAAAGGTTTTCTCTGCTTAATTCTAGGACAAAATTATATTTAACGAGCACTAATAAAAGTCACCTAGAGATTATGCACAGCCCGGTGGAAACTAAAGTCAGACTTACAGGTTCTCCTTGCAATTTGATCACCTTATGCTAGCAATTTCACTCCAGCTTCAAGCAATATGACTTTGGACAAGTTATTTAACCTCTTGGAGACTTTTCTGCCCCCTTTGTAAATAGGAATTGCAATATCTGCCTCATCAAGTTGTTGTGAGGCTCCAATAAGAAAACTGTGGTGGAGCATTAAGACCACTGCTGTTATTGTT